ATTGTAGACACCCATCCCGAGTTTTGTTCCCTACGGAACTTCTCCGTTCCTCTGGCGTAGGGATCTAGATAGAAATTTGCGATGGGTGCCGCATTGGATCCGTTCAAATCGAATATGTCGAAGAACCGGACATCTTTATGCCAAATATCTGCTTTCTTGCTTTCGATGATTTTCACATTGAAGAGTGTCTCGATGTGTTTGAAGAGGCCCGACAACACAGTTGGCAACGGAAAATACTCTCTCCACTCATTTTCGTCACTACTGAACGAACACGGAATTAGACAAAGTATTTAAAGATATATTATTTTACAATATTTTATACAATGTTATAAACTTAGCAAATATCAATACTTAAATTCTACAATGTAGAAAATTTTAATTTGCTTTCAAATAATTATATTCTCTTTAAAATGCAATCGCGCGAGCGCAACATAATTTTTTAATATACAAATACATATATTATACTTAAAAAAACAACTTTTTAATATAGTATTGTAGGATAAAGTATATGTAAGATATTTCTTATACCAATTTACTTACACATACATACTATGACGTTGTTTTCTACCCCAAAATGCAATATCCCATACCCTTATAATATCATTAAAATCTCTCTCCTTTGCAAATTCGGTTAAACTTGCGATTTCCTTTTCCTGAATTGGTAATGCTTAAAAAAACAGATAATTGTTCATCAATTTCATGTAATTATTAATTAATCAAGTAATATTATCAAAATCTAACATTATTTATTATTTATAATATTATATATACATAATTTTAATAATATATAATTTTGATAAAATATATTTTTTTCTAATAGATCTAATTAATGATAAAACATTATCGTTCTTTCATAATTTCAACAAGTTGTCAACAAATTAATTTTAACAAGTGTATAAATATTCTATAATAAATTTTCGATTATTTCTCTGTATTATATTTCTCATTCATAATAAATTAATTACCAGTACTCCGAAGAACTTCTAGTGTGTTGTACAAATTTTCCAGATTGCCGGCCATCTTTGTCTCCATGCTCATCTCTGCGTAATTCTTAAATCCCAAACGTTTTGCTTGTTCAATTCTTCTTGATCGGAGTTCCTCCAATGTCACGCTGGCCTGAACAGATCTTTCCTGATAATTAGAGCACCGGATGACATCAGCATCCCAGATCGCCTCCCTCAATTTACGATCAGGACAATATTCTAATTGAGAAAATAGAAATCATTATTAATTAAAATTTTAGTCTTAAGAGAGAATTTCACGTTTCTTTTTAAATGAAAATATGAAGGATGCATACCCATAAACGGTTGCAGGATATATGGCTTTAAAGTGATTTTCCAAGGACCCATGTAAGGTTGCCTAGAGTCAATTGCGATGGATTTGAGATAGTCTTCCGGAAAATCTTCCACGACACGTTTGTTATGTATTACCATATTATACACAGCTGTAGAACTCTAAAAAAGATCAAGTTAAATTTCAGTTCGTTGCTATGCTTTTTTCGAGACAAATGTTCACTAATAAAAATACACTATAATAATAAAAATAAAATCCTTATTATAATGCTGCTTTTTTAAATATGATTAGTCCGGTAGCCTTTTCTAATTTTACTGTGTTATAATTATTATAAATCTATTACAAGTTATGTGATAGACCTCATATTTTGCTTTGTATTCCTTGATTTTCGACAGAATGAAGCTCAAGTCGGCTGAATACTTCTCGATTTCTTTATCTTGCAGATGCAGGCCATTCAAAGTACCTTCTAGCACATACTTGATAAGCACTCTCCTCTGCGAATGTGTCAATTTGATGTCTTTATTCTCCAATGCTTCCTTGCATGCTCTAAAGAGTGGCGCACTGCCAAATTTGCTAGCTATGGCTCTTATAGCACGTTCGTGAATACCCATATAACATTTTGTCGGCATCAAACTTTGATTGCCAAAATACAAAGTCTTTGCTATGCCCCAAGTCGTCTCCAGAGGAAGATATGCATCCTCGATTGGATGCAACCAATCATTAAATACATCTAAATTTTTTGTTGCTGTAAAAAATTATAAAAATTAAAAATTGTAATTATACATATTGGACCATATTTCTTTTTATTAAAAATTCATATCATATTAATTTTATTATTACTATGAACGATTATAAGAAAATCTCTTAATATTATTTATTCTCTTTTTATTCACATCTTATTCAAAATTTGCTTGTACAATATATTTAAATATTAATTATACAGCATTCAAATAAAATTAATACTTAAATATATTTAATTAATATTTTTAATATAAAATATCTTTTAATACTAATATTTTTTAATAATTAAGTAATACTTTACCTTTGGTTGATATTTAATACTTACTTATTTTTTCCAGGCTTTTCATCTTTTCTTCAAAATCTACAGTTTGTTTTCCAATAGCTGCTATACATTTTTCGATTGTAATTGTGTTAAACTCTGGCAAATTGTTATCCTTCAGTAAAGGATTTTTCTCTGATTTGGATCTTTAATGTTTAAATAATTCAATGTGATCAAAAAATATGTCAAAAGGTTCAATAAAAATAAATAATAATATAAAAGAGGGTTACGAGCCTAAACAAATACTTTTAATTGATAGTTAAATCATACAAATACAAACAAACGTTTCGTACCCGATCGGGTCATTTTCAATGTCATAACAAAAGTCAGTTATGAATTTTCTTAGCAATATTAAAATAAGTACAAATAAAATATAAATTGAGGTCTGAAGTATTAAAAAAATTAATTATTTAAAAAGTATTCAAAAAATTAATTAATTAAAGAAACATAATTAATTTTGTTTGTATTTGTATGATTTAATTATCGATTAAATGTATTCGTTTAGGCTCATAGCCCTCTTTTACATTATTATTTATTTTTATTGAGCCTTTTGACATATTTTGATTAATTATATAAATTAATATATTTAAGATGTATTTAATATATCCATTTAATAACAACATAGATATTTAAAAACATAAATTAAATAACATTATAAAAAGTATATTTATATTATATAATATGTAAATAATAATTAAATATGCAATAAATATATAATTAAATAATTAAATAGATAAGAAATATTAAACAAATATTAAACAATAAAAATAACCCATAAATGTACAATAAATACATAAATAAATCAAATAATCGAAAAAAATTAAATGAATAACAGAAAAAGCAAATTCAAACATATGAATGAAAATGTAGACAAGATTGAATCTCTAAACGCCAAAAAAAGTATAGTTGAAACGTATAACTAATTAATAAAAGTAAAAAAAGAATACAATACTAAAGGTATGCACAAATATAAGAGAAACAATAAAATTATATAAAACGCAGTAATCATTATTATAAAAGGACACGCGAGAATCAGTGGAACCTAACCTATATGTAATAACAAAGTAAAGGAAGATAAACTTACAAGACTATATATCCATGTCGCTTCGGAATTTTCAAGAAATTCCGTCGCGTTAAAGCGATTCTTTTACCTAAAAAGGACACCGCCATTTTACGCGATAAGACAATTTCTTTTCAAATAACGTAAAAGACTCATCGCACAAACTAATTGAAAAAGGTTATCCAACCTAAAAGTCGCTAAGACTTCATCGATACATCGGAATCGCGCGTACGATATATCGACATTAATCGATATCGCCGCGCGATTAGAACCTGTTCAAACAAACTTGCATAATAAATGCATATTTATTTATTAATAGCAGAGTTTTCTCCTCAGACTTCTTTCTTTGAATACTCCTTGTATATATCACGAGCGAGCAATATACATCGACAGAGAGGAGAGCATTTACTCGTAAACAAGAATCATTTTAACTTGATTTTTCAAGGTGGACAAAAAATTATTTTTTATATGCCTACCCTAAAGGGTAAACGTTCTGCTGAACGCACCCAATGCTTTAGTAAAGGGGCCTACAGACCAGAGCGGCGCAGCGGTGAGCGGCGAGCGGTAGCCAATGAGAGGTACGCTTTTGCGTGACATCACATCCGCCGCACGGTCCGAGTGGCATCGCAGAAAAAGTTGATCAAGTCTGAAGATTTATCGCGCGCGGCGAGCGGTAACTATTGCTAACTACAGATTTGACGAGAGCATAAACAATTTTACCGTTGTCGCATGTGAAACAGAACCTACAAAAAATAATACAAGTAGTCACCATAGTCACAATAATGGATGAAAATTACAACGATTATGAATATCTTGATGACGACGTAGAGGTAAACTTTTTAATTGTTTTTCTATAATTTTGAACAGAGTAATTATTTAGAATATCATACCCTACCTAAAATCTTAATAAAAATACACTCATTCGACATGTTTTCACTCAAAATGAAAGAATTACCTCTAACAATAAATAAGATTTTAACTAACAGTGAATTAGAATTAATTTTTTTTATTCGCTGTCCATAGGTGGCATGTGATCCTTCCATCACCGATACATTCGAAGAGCTTCTCATAATAGAAGTGAAAGAGAGATCTTGTTTGTGGGATCACCGTTTGGACTTAAAATTCCGGGGACCAACAGCAATAAAAAAATCATGGGAAGAAGTTGGAAGATCCTTGAGTAATATCAATAATTTTTGGACAATGGAAAATCCTATTAATAGGCACTTTTCTTTCCAAGAAAAATTAATATTTTTATAATCATATTTTGCTGAAGTGTATTTTTCGGTTTATAAATTTTTATATTACTTAGTTTGGTTAAAATAATGTTTACTCGAATACACATGTGCTTTTTATAGGAGGCTTGGCTAAAGTATTAAGTTCATCTTATAGTTGATGTAGCGAATTAATATTGCTTGGTTGTTATACTTTTTCCGTCAATCAGTATCTGCAATACTATTTCTTTTTATCCTATCTATTCTGTATTGTCACGCTTGTCTCTTGTATTCATGTACACTAACCGAGCCTGCTGTTATACTTTTGCAAATACAAAATTTTCTGTAAACTAATGAAAAAAACATGACTGCAGATGTTGATCCAGTAATATGTCAAAAAAATGGAAAAACCTAAAGGACACGTTTCGCAAAAAGTTTAAAGAAGAGAAAAAGTATGTACCCAGTGGTAGTGGTGTGCAAAAAACACAAGAACCCTGGAAATATTATCAGTGTCTTCAGTTTCTTATTCCTGCAGTGGACATTCGAAGGTAGATGTCAAAAGTTAATCACGAATAACATTTCTTATTTGCTTAACTAAGTGTATGCAGTAATATAAGCTTATATATAGATATTGTCCTACTAAATATCAATATCTGAGGATATAAATAATTTTTCTGTTATGTTTACAGCACAAGTAGTAATCTCGGAACCATTAAAACTACACTATCCACTCCATTACCGTCTATAGCCAAAGAGATATCACCATTCGGATCACCCTGTAACAACCAATCAGAAACTTCATCATCAGAAACATTTTCACGTAAAAGTAAACGATCACGCAATAATTCCATCTCGTCAGGAAGCCAATCTTCTAGTGTGGTTAATGATCTTTTGATGAAAGAAATATCAAAACCAGTTGAAGAGGAAGAAGCTTTCTGTCAGTTTTTACTCGCACGCATGAAGAAACTCGATAGGAAACGTTATATAAAATTAACGCATGCCATAATAATAGAAGTGATGAAAGTTGAACTAGAAGAATTGTAGATTAAAGAAAGAGGAAGAACTATGGACAGAGATAAAATAAAACGTTGTTTTTATACGATAATAGGACACAAAATAGACTATTATTTTACATGTCACTTTTTTTTATTAAATCTTCATATGAAATAAATGGAATAACTTAAGAAAATTAGAACTTCATTCGTGAATTCATTCTATAAACTTCATCAATAACCAATCACAATCCCCGCTGCCATGGAACAGCGCCTTCATTTAAAAAGTAGTGCTTGAATTTTTCTCTTCCTAAAGCAGCAATACGTGAATGTGTATTGCTGCCTGCAGAGCCACAGGGAGTCAATGCTGTATTGTTTTGCAACTCGTTCCTCCATAATCCTTCAATAATTTCACATCCATTGAACTCATCGGCAAATCCACGATTACAGTAATTGGACTTATTCATTAAGAAATTGTGAAGTACAACGCAAGCCTGCACAATTTTATCAGCTGTCAGCAACGATGTACAGATTGTTTTAGTAAGAATTCGCCAGCGAGCTACCATTATGCCAAAAGCGTTTTCGATTACTCTTCGTGCTCGACTTAAGCGATAGTTAAAAATCCTTCGTTCATCTGAAATTGCTCGTCCAGGATAAGGTCTCAAAATGAAATTGCTCAATTGGAATGCCTCATCTGCTACTATAACATACGGCATTGATTCCCCATCTATAACAATTGCTGATGGAGGTGGTACATTCATCTCGTTATTTCGAAATCGACAACCCATTAACGAGTTCATAAAAACTCCACCATCACTATGGCGACCTTCTGCTCCTATATCAACAAGCAAAAATTTATATCTTGCTGATGCTATTGCCATTAGATGAATGCTGTGATGTCCTTTATAATCAAAAAAAGATGACCCAGATTTTGGTGGTGCCTGCAAATTCAAGTTTATAAATTAATATGTTGTTTGTGAAAACATATGGATAGAATGAAAGATTATTACTATTATATAATGAGGAATAAACTTACCTGTATGTTGATATGCTTTCCATCTAGCGCACCAATGCAATGAGGGAAATTCCAAAATCTCTCAAATTCATCTGCTACTGCTTTCCATCCACTTTCCGTTGGTTGAAACATCTCATCGTATAGACTATCCCATAATGCTTGACATGTTTCGTGCACTATACCAGAGACTGTACTACGTCCAACCCGGAATGCATATGCTATCGAAGACATATTGTCTCCAGTTGCTAAATATCTGTAATAAGAATGAAGAAATAATCAGTTTAAACTTTTTTGTAACTTTCAAAAGAAAACGTAATCTTTGAAAATTTCGTTGTATTCCAAGATCTTACCTTAATGTATAATCTATCTCTAGCAGAAATAGGTTCTCGACAATATGTTGCTAGTTTTTCAATTTTTGGTCCAACTTTTGTAAGAAGTTCGTCAAATACAACTCTTGTCATACGAGTGTATTGAAAATGGACTTCGGTATCCGACAATCTCATTTCTTCAATCAAGTTGGTTTCCATCTCCTTGTTCCAATCGAAATTGGTTAATTGGACGAACCCACCATCGCCGTTTTCGCTGTTGAACGTTATCATGATTTCCCAGTTGAGCATGCCATGTCGCCAATAATAATAGTATTTTTTTACGATTAAACATTCGTTTTTTGCAATAAATGCTTAACAGCAATAAAAGTTGCCTATCTTCATCATTCATTGTATCTATTTTAGTACCTAAAAGATAACCCAATAATTGTCATCGTTTGTCAACGGTAGGTGTACATAAGCGTCCGCGTGTCTCCACGTATATGTAAATAAACATTCATAAAATTTTTTTATAGAATATGCTATAATCGTATATAGGTTAGGTTTACTCCAGATAATCGTATTGAGCTTTACTTACTTATATTGTCGTTTTCGTTGCGAATATAACGACGGAGCACGATAATACATATCTTATGGTACAGATTTATTATTTTCCTCTTGTGTTTGATCGTAGTCTTTCGATATAATACTTGACAAATTCTGCGAACTCTTTACACACGTTCGGCAACGCTCGGTGCATCACCGCTCACCGCTCATCGCTCTGATGTGAACAGCTAAAAATAATTTTCTGTTACATTTGTCGCATATCGCTCGCCGCTCACCGCTGCGCCGCTCTAGTCTGTAGGCCCCTTAAGCTCCTATAGCGTTTTCCCACCCGGCCGGATTTGCACCAATCTAGGTTGGATTAATGGCGTTTTGTGCTCTCCTATTGGTAGAGCGGGTAAGGCCGGAATCAGACTACGCATTGAAGATTGAGATTGAAGATTGAAACTTGACCAATGAGAGCAAAGGAATTTTAGCTCCTATTGTTTTGATTGGTCAAATTTCAATCTTTCAATCTTCAATCTCAATCTTTAATGCCTAGTCTGATTCTGGCCTAACGTCAATCAATAGGAAAGATTAATCCAACCCAGATTGGTGCAAACCCGATTGGGTCGAAAACGCTATGATAAAGTTCTGAGAATTTTTTCAGAATTTTTTAATGTCGCATTTTCTCATATTGATAAAAATAGTTGCCAGTAAGAAAATACAGTATTAAAAAGTTGATAAAAAATTCTGAAAAAATTCTTAAAGCTCTATGAGAAGAAAAAAATAATTTTTGTCTCTTGTGCCGTTTTTCAGTAAAGTTGATAGTAGTTGAGTAAAAATTATTGAAAATCAATATTCAGCGGTTTTTAGTAATATCTTAACTATTGCGAAAATTGTAAGGATAGAGGACTTTTTGACTCAGTTTAGTCCGCTCTACCTGCGCACGAAATATTTTATATCTTTTAAATATTATTTAACATAAACTTAACTAATGTATTTTTTTCTTATACAAATTGACATACAGTAACAAAAAATATATAAAAATAAAATTATACTGTTATAACATTATTTTTTTAATGCTCTGATTAAAATAAATAGATCGCTATTAACTGTATTTCACTTTGCAACATAACTTAAAAAATTTGTTAAAATCCTTGATAACAATAAGTGTAAAAAAATATCAAGTACATTAAAATAATCACATTAAAACAATATGCCTTTCGACGTGAATTAACTGGTTGGATCTCTGGGTTTGAAAGGTGTTCGGAAAGGAGAAACACACTCGAGACACATTTCAAACATTTATTTAGAAATTAGTAATATATTGGGTTGAAATAAGAGTTCGTAGCGCTACTCATTAGCATTACATATACGTTTTTAAAAAAATTTGGCCACTATATTTGCCAGTTTCAGCATGAAGAATTTGTTTTTCGAATTGCGATGAATTTTAACGAAGTCATGAACAATCAAAATGCTCCTTTTATTTAATCCGTCATAACTTAATAAGAAAAAAAATGTTAAAAACATTTTTTGAAATCTCGATTTTATAGAAAAAATTTTAAATTTTCATGTTAGAAAGTTAAAAATTTGTTCGGACACGTAACAGGTTCACAAAAAGGACATTTCTCATTTCGACCAGCTCGTAATTTTCTTCTTATTCTTCCTTTTACATTAGACTTCTGATGCGCACGCTGATTATATTAATTATTTAATTCAATTACCACAAGCACGGGACCTAGTTTTAATGCCGGTTCCGAACCACGAATTTTTTGAGGTGTTCATAATTTTCTATATGTAAAAATTAGCGAACTCGTAGAAATTCAAAAGATATAATAATCTTTTAAAAATAGGGCTTTAAAATCCTTTTTGAAATTTAAATTTTGTTCATATTTAACAAAGTTATAACTGCTTGAATATTGATTCGTAACGTTACGTATTTTTGTTCTACAATCTAATACATGAAAAGACAGAAATACGACCATATACAACAATGCGCATGATGATGAATAGACGATATGCACCTATTTACAATGGTAACAATGCGGTCGCGAATATTATAATGCGTTCGCAAATGATTGAGAATGACTATAAAGATAAGTATAATTCTATTACAGAGAATCAGTCGATACAAATCGGTTGGGATCGCAGTTGCGAGTTCGAAATCGCAGACGTACACAAGTCTTGTAATCAGCAACCCAAAAAACATATATAAAAGACATATAAATACAAATATTAATAAAAATTGTCTATCAAAAAAATTTGCTTTATAAATGTGTATTACAAGGATTAATTGGGGATTTTCGTACGGCTTTTGTCAATTTCATCAATATCCCGATACCACTCGAATGTTTAATCAAAATTGTTTCCTTAGTGGACGAGATCAAGATACCGATCGGCACATCGTACTCCGGCCTGCGAAGCCTTGCAATTAACGTTCACGATTTAAAAGATTAAAAATGTCTGTAAGTGTCAGTTTGAAAAATTAAAAAGAAGTGCGGATGATCAATTGGATATGTGGCAAGTGTGCCACTGGGAAACGATGCGAGATACATCGTTACAATATAATAGATTATGTCTCCTTTTCCTGTGTATCACAATCATCAGTAGGCAATACCTTTTTATTCTCGCGATCATATCGCAGCTTACTAAGCCGGAACCATTCGCTTGCTATAGTTTCAAATTCGCATTCGTTGATACCTCTGGCTCTTAACACAACTAACAAAACATTCAATAATACAGTTAATATTACAAATAAAATCCTTATGAATTTAAATAAAGAATAAAAATATGCAACTTGTTAAAATAACTTACTTTTTAGAACTTGGATACATTTTAAATCGCACATGCGATAATTATTCCCGCGACCACACCAAGAACAACTTATGCCGAATTCATTTGTAAATAAACGGCTCATACATCGTTGTATCATATTTTTGTTGCCTTTGCCTCCGATTCTTTTCATAAATTCCATCTTGAAAACATACAACTTAATTAGATCATATAAACATATTCATAAGCAATTAAATAAATAATAAATGAAATGTGTAATTTAACATACTACTATTATATAATAAATAATATTTATACTTTTAAAAATTAACTTACGAATTTCGTTTTTATTTCAGCTGTTTCAATGCTTTCTTCAAATTGTTTAAGATTCTGTATTGAATTGATCGGAAGTATGTTATCGAATACGTTCATTCCTTCAGGCTCTTCCTCATTAACAACGCCTCTTTCCAAAACTCTCAGCCTTCTATCAATGCTTTTTACATACCTTAATGTTTCTTCACAAAGCGGAATCAGCTTTTCTGAAATGAAATCAATTAAGACAGCGTATAAATTTTTCTTTTAACATATTGCTTCTAATCAAAACACACTATGAGTTAAACTTTAAAGTATCATATGCTTACAATGTATATAATAAATTAAGAAAAATAAGTATAAAATATAATTCTTACCAATGTCACTAACTGTAGCTGACGGAGCAGTAGTTGAAATAAATTCAAGATCTAAAAGAAGTGTTATTGTATCAATTGTGGACATTTTATCATATCAACTTAAAAAGATAAAATAATTTTGAATTTTTACTTTGTACATTAATTTCTTGCTGTCCAAATTCAGACGATTCATTACACTCATCCATTTGTACTATTTGTAGTGGATCAACTATCTGTGTTTGTGATTTATCATACAATGAATGCTTTGGTGTAGATAAGGCGACAATTTGTGAGACTTTATTGCACGAGATTTGCTTTTTATGCAAAAATTGTTTGTCATGCAAAGATTTCTTTCCAGACTCCCAATTTTCATTTATTTTTATCTTCTTGTACGAAGTCTGTAATTGCGAAGGTGAATCTGATAAAAAAATATAATAAAAATTAGTTAAATGTGAACACAGTTTATTTTATGCCAAATCGTCGATACAAGATTAAAATAAATTTAAAAAATACAATTATTGAAAAAACTTTGATTTCTGGAACAATAAAAATAAAATATAATTTTATAAAATTAAATTACCGCAATCTTCATCTATACTGTCATCACAAGTATCATATAATGTATCGTCAAATTGTTTTTCGTGTATGACTCTTTTTTCATGCCTTCTGCTTTCGTCACAAGTTGCGTAATTAGGACCTGCTTTTTTCCGTGCCTCTTCTAAAGTATCTGTAAATATGAAATTTTGTATCGATTGTCTTCAGAAACTTACGTAAAGCATCTACTCTCTGACAGCTTAATTTTATTATGTTACTGATAATAAATATGTTACTAATAATTACAATAATCTTGCGAGTCGCCTATCTGGGTATTTATACAAAAGAATATTAACTTAAGATTGGTTTATATCAGGCTTAAAGCTAACTTACACTGCTATTACTTAAATATTATTTCTCTTTTCCTTTATAAACTTCCTGGGAGATTTCGTAATTTTATTATAATGCATAACTTAAAAAGTTGTAGTATTCAACAAACAGGTGTTCTAAGTTATCATCTGCTAAGGGTGTCGTTCCAACAAACTCTTCCTCTCTATCAGATATAATTTCTACTTTAGGATTAAAATTAAGAAGAGCAGTTAGTATTATATTAATGACATTACAAGTTGGTGATATTTCAACATCTTGTACAGTGTAGAACTTCTTCTATATTTACACAACCCTATTGAAGATACAGGAGATATTATTTGTATGTTTCAATATATTACTCATCTTGTATGTACTGCATTGTATAAATTAAAAGTTTGAGGATTTTAGAAAGGACCCTGCATAAAACATATGGAAAAGGTCGAATTGGCTGAATTTTTTATATGTTGTAGTTCTCGTCATTCTGAACAAATGTCTCAATGGGCACAACTTGATCTATGGCTAGTTTTAGAGGCGGCCAAAGTATCCTCTGTCGACAAAGCGATGTGCACTACATATGCATCATTATCGACTCCATAGGGCTTTATTTTTAATATATATAAGTTAAATAGTTACAATGATATTAATTACAATATATATAATAATAATTATATAAATAAATATGATTACAATTATATTACGATCATAATTATAATTGTATATTTGTCTAAAGTCACACTATATCAATCTGAAATCTCATAGTATGACTTCGGAATATAAAATGTTGAAACCATGTATATTTTCCTGCTGTCAGCGTTACCCAGGATCAATGGACGTGGTTATCTGATCCCATGTGCGCGCGTGTGTGTGTATGAGTTTCAGTTTATTCGCTTTTGTCAATCTCTCATGAGAATTCAGTCAATTAATTAAAATGATGTGTTGTATGTACCAAAAATAATAAAAGATGAAGTACTAGGTATTACTATGAATACACTATCATGGTTACCATATGTATTTTCCTGCTCTCAGCCATGTCCATGTCGTTGATCCTGGGTAACGCTGAGAACAGGAAAATATATATGATTTCAACATTTTACCTTCCGGAGTCATACTATGAGCCTTCAGATTGATATGGTGTGACTTTAGACAAATATATAATTATAATTATGATCGTAATATAATTGTAATTATACTTATATGATTATTATTATATATATTATTATAATTATTACAATATTTATTGAACTAATACATATTACTATCATTGTAACACAATATTTAACTCATATATACTAGAAATAAAGCCCTAAAGAGTTAATAATATGCGTATGTAGTTCGCTTTTTCGGCAGAAGACACTTTGACTGCCTATATCTCTGAAACTAGCTATAGGATCAAGTTGTGCCCATTGAGACACATTTGTTCAGAATGACGAGAACTACACATATAAAAAATTCAGCCAATTCAACCGAAAGCATTTTTCCATATTTGTATGGGATTCTTTTCCCTTTTAGCCATAATTTTGTCTAATAATTCTTAATTTATAATATAAATAAGATTTTCTATGGAACATTTTTATTTTTTTTTACTGATAAAATTGGATTACTTTACTTACATTCGACAAATTAATTAAAACAAATTTTATTCTAGGCCAAAAATGTATTCTGCTAATGATACACCAGTTGATGACCAGTATTTTTTTAAAATGTAATTCTATATATAAACAAAAATTCTAATAAATTATTTATCAAACCACATATGTTATTTTTTTCTTTGCTCAACAAATAAACTCCTGTTTAGATTGATTGACATTTTTTGACAATTTGTATTTCCCCTTTCCACTATATCAATCTATTTAATTGTGGGTGTATAGTAGAAATTTGATAAAAGATAAATACAAATAACCAGCTCATTATTGAAAACTAATATAATAATATATAAAAAAAAGGCTAGAGAACAAAAACAAGACGTTACAAAAAAAAATCTAATATGTCCAATACATTGAAATTAATAAATAATTGTAACTTTACAAAGTCTTCAGTCGCATAACATTACAATAATTAAACTTCAATTAAACTTAATAAGCCATTATATAAGAATTAAAAAATTAGAATGTTACAAGGTAAAAATGAAAGAAATCACAAATAGTCGTAAAAGAATTGGCCAGAAGGAAACACTGAATTTGTAGAAAAACTTTTCTATATTTATAGATAATATTTCTTCTTTATATTTCTCTATATTTCCGTTTTTTATTCGTACTAATTAGATTATTAGTTTATGAGAAAAAAAATTCTAAAAGTAGTCATTTTTCAAACTTAGACATTTTTTATCTAAAAAACTATTGATTAAGAAAAAAGTCTAAAAGATAAAAACTATTTATTTTGATCCAATTAAGCTTATATAATTTTTTCAGAATTTTTATTCGAAGTTTAGATTTTTTAAACAAAAAATCGTTAATAACTATTTAACGACCACATAAAAAATAAAGTGTATATAGATGTTTTTTTCGCAGAATAATATGAAGAATCGAATTAAATAATTTTCAGACCTTTCTTGGAACGTTTCTTGAAAGGTCAATGAATTGAAAATGGGAATAAATTGCTCGCCTATCAATATTGGCAACTTTCTTCTATTAGAATACTAGTTATTTTTCAATACATATTTCAACTTGCTGTTTTCAGACTCACCAATTGTATCGATATCTATAAACTTTAATTCAAAAATATGATTATTCTCTTCCTGATTTTGTTTGTCTTCTTGATTTTCTATATTATAAGCTCTGTTTTTAGATGTAGAAGATTTGGATGATGTATGGTCCACTTGATTACATGAAACACATCTCGAATTCATAGCACTATAATCTTTATGAACTTTGGTAAATCGTTTACACATTTGTCTTATAGGCGTCGTTTTATCATTTGACTCTTGATTTGCTTGAATTAAATATTCATTTGATTTACTCTGATTACTTTCTTCATTTAGCTTTCCATCACTCTTATCGTTATCCAATTGATTAATAATATTCTCTTCATCATTTCTAGGCATGGTAACTCTTTGGTATTCTGTCAACTCCATTTTTGTGGCCATTTCGCATGCCTTTTTAAACGTTAAATCATCCTCCGTCAACAATATCTGTTTAATTTGTTCTGAATGTAAACCGAAGACGAATTTGTCTCTCAAAGCTTCATCCAAAAATCCTTCAAATTTACAATATTTTGATAGATTCTTCAATTTAGTTCGGTATGATTTAATATCTTCACTACTATCTTGATTTGCACTGTAGAATTTGTATCGTTCCGCTACTATAAGTCTTTTTAAATTATAATGATTTATTAACGTCTCTTTTAAAGTAGTATACGTCTTTTGACTAGGTAATTGTGGAGACAAAAGATCTTTTAAAACATTATAAGCTTCTCCCCCTAACAAAGTCAAGAAAAGTGACACTTTCTTCTTTTCACTCACATCATTACAAATAAATAATTGTTCTATTCTTTCAATATAAGTTGTTATGTCAGCTTGGTCTGGATTAAATGGTTCAATATTTCCGATTAGAGACATTGTGCTGATTTTGTATGTATCTTATAATTTTATAATACGTAGTAACCTTGAATGAAGTGTTATAAACTTAGAGCATATTTAAGGTTATAAATAACGCACGTGAATTTTCCGAAGTCGTCGCCAGATATGATCAATTCCCGGAACTTACACAATGCATATCTTTTCTAACAACTTAATTTGTCTTAACTTTATTTACTATTGATATAATTACAATAATCTTACGAGTATCAAAGAGGCACCGCCAATCTGGATACTTAAGACGCCGGGTATGAAGAAAAAAGAGATAGATCCATGCATGGCGGAATTGGACGTTGTATAGAGAGGAATATCCCTGAGATTGAATATCCCAGCCTTTTTCGTGTACCAAACCTCGTAGGGTAATGTTCACATTTTTGTGGTTCTTTTCCATACTATTGCGAGTTAGACAAGGGGGAAACGATCAATCATCCTTGTCTAACCCGTGAATGATGTAATAGGGCGGTATTTATAGTCCGTTCTTATTTTAAGACTGCCTTAAGGCCATCACACGTACAAAAATTTTAGTCGTAAAGCCGTAAGCAAATCGGCCAATCACAGTTGAGTGTTTAAAAACTCGAGATCTTAATTTTGATTGTGATTGGTCGATTTGTTTGCGACCTTACGATTCCCACTAATGCGGGGTCTACAATAGAAATCGTAGCGGTCTCAAGTCGTAGAAAATTGACCAATCACAGTCGAATATGAGAAGAATAATCAACTGTGATTGGTCAATTTTCTACGACTTAAGACCTTACGACCTCTACGACTTCTATTGTAGATCCTGCATAAGCCCGAATCTACAATAGAGTTTTAAGCCTTAAGCCATAAGAAATGGACGAATCACAGTCGATTATTCTCCTCGGATTCGACTGTAATTGGTCAATTTCTTACAACTTAAGTCTTAAAACACCTATTGTAGATCCGGACTAACGGAACACAGCTATGTTAGTTACAGCGCTACCAACCTTGTAACTAAAAAGAAAATTTTCGACACAGCTATCGGAACACAACCCTAGTTGGATAGAAAATGGCGTTCACAGGACGATAAGTCATAGGACTCGTTCGCAACTAGGACGGAAAAGCAGAAAAAGTAGGAAAGCAGAAGCCAATCAGAATTCGGACTGTACTATCATCTATTACCAACACGACTTTTGATTGGCTTTTGCCATTCCATATCCAGCCAATCAAAAATTAGCCCATCTATGTCAGTCTCTTGTTATAGTGTCTCTAGAACCATTTCGAACACCTGGCGTTTGCAAAATGGCATACCTGATCGCTCCGCGATGTTACGTTTTGAGGTTAGGTATCGATCAGTGCGCTGGCGCCGTCTCGGCAGCGACGGAGACGCGAGTGCGATGCTCGTCATGTTTCCATCCCGGCGGATCCCGCCGACCAGTGCGAGTTAGGAGTCGGTGCCTCCGCTACGATGAGAGTGTGCTGATCGCTACAGCGAAACATGGCGCAGTCTATCCTCGATGTTCTGACAGGTAAGGCGCGCGTCGCCCGAAATAGGCGGGGTTGACCGTTCCCGGAAACGTCAACAATCCACCTCGAGCCTTCGTTCCTCGGGCATGGAGTAGACTGTCGTTTTCTTTCTGCATCGCATCTCCACGAGCTCGTCTTGCGGCAACAATTTCAAGTACGCTAGGTAGTATGAGAGTGCAGATTTTTAGGATTTGAAGGATATGGAAAATGGGGGTCACTGACTTGACCTGCCTCGATGCATTTTATATGTAGCCGAGTACGCTTTGCGTACTCTCAGAACCGTGCTCTCAGTTCCGTTTTATGATCTGAAGATGCTTGTCGTAATTATTATTTATTTTTGTTTAATTATTTGAATATTTAAGTAAGGCTCTGGAATAATAATTCAAAGGCTAGAAAGGAAGTCTACCAGAGCCAACACAGTTATTCATGTGTGAATTGTTATGTGTATCTACCAAGGAATGAAAGTACAGTAACATCGTTACTTTTACCGTTATTTTTTATAATAATGATTTGATAATGACGTTGAATTTTTTATGATTAACAATAACTAACTAAATGCTAAGATTGTACTAAGGTTGTTACAAGTTACTTTTTTTCAGTAACGAGTAACTTTTTCAATCTATTACAACTAATGACTTTTCCTGATTGGTTACCATTACCACCATAAAAAATTTGTAACATAACCAAATCATTATCTTAACAAAGTAATGATAACTAAAAGTAATGGCGTTACAAGTAACATGTAAGTACTTCTATTTCCTGATACCTATTTACAATAATTAATATTGAACAATGTAATAGTCGATCTTGTTTAATTGTATACTTGAAATTTAAAGTAAGTAAGACTTTGGAATAATAATTCGAAAACTAGAAGGAAAGCTTGTAACATAGTTATTCATGTATGAATTATTGTATGTATTTGCAATAATTGATATGAAATGAATAATGTAGTTGTTTTTGTTTAATTATAGATTTGAAAATTAAAGTAAGGCTCTGGAATAATAATTAAAAGGCTAAAAGGAAAGCCTATAAAAGTAAACAGTTATTCGTGCATGAATTGTTGTGTGTATTGACAATAATTAATATACATTGAACAATCCATATTGCAGATGTTTCTGGATTTGATCCTCTTCGGTACATATTATACATATATAAGAAAATTATGATTACTAAGTTAGGATCCCTAAATCCTCTAGTCATGTAGTCGAAAGAGTCAAATTGTTAAAAAATTGAAGTCATCAATGGAAATATGATAGGTCTGATTGTTGAGATTCGTTAAAGTTAATTGTAGAATTTAAAATATAAAAACTAATATGTACATTTATATAAATTAAGAAATGAAATTGAATTTAAATCAATGATTAAAACAAGAATAAACAATTTAATTAATTAAAAAACTGATTGTATAAATAAGTGAAAAATTATATCTCATATCTTAATTATTTAATAATTTTACAGATGTCTCGCTGGATGGCTCCTCTGTGCAATCCTTGCTGGAGTCTCAAAACTTGATAGCTGAAGTCGAACAGTCAGGTATTTATGCACACACAATCAGATATAATGCTTCAGAGGATGAATCTGATGATTAATCTCTAAAAAACAAAAAAAAGAGACTGTCAGACTGACATAGATTATTTAGACTCCATTTTTTTAGTTATAATAAATTAAGAAACCTATTCAAAAAGTGCTTGTCTTTCATAGAAAGACATAATTTGTCCTGATGATCTGATATAATAATGTAATAGATATGAGATTTTAAGATTTGCTATAGTAAAACTGCCACAGCGAAAAGTAAAAAGTTTGAATATTTTTTTAAATTTATTATAAGTAAAAAGTAAATCTTAAAATCTGTTAGTTTATTAATTTTTTATTTAGGTTTATTCTTAAAGCACACAATTGAGATTTACAATTTGGTAATCAAACTGAATTAAGTTACAAATTTAAATTTTATTGATAGAATTTTCAATATTAACGGCGTGAAAATTTGAAATGTATTTAATTTTATGTTAATATCCCTTCTAGAAATATATTCTCTGTGAAAAAAATATCTGATATTTTTTTCATGATATGGAAAGATATATATTTCAACTTTTGTTAATCTGTTAATTAATTGTTTTGAAAAGAGAGATAAATTCTTATGAATACAAATATTATTCCAAAAATAACATAATTATGTGTGTATATGTTAATATTTTCTATAATTATATCTCGTATATTGTGTATATATCGCGTTCATTACATAATATCAATTTATCTTCACTAGCGATTGATCAGGATGAGGAAGACATATTCCAATGTGGCAAATGTAAAAGTCAGTTCACGTCACTCCAACTGTTCGTACTCCACAAGAGAACGCACCAGAAAACGCAGCAGCAAACAGTAGACTTGACTCAATTCTTAACAAACGATGAGAGTCAGGTAATGCATGTGGAAGATGTCGTTCAAGATGAGTCGCAGTACAATTCGCAGGAAACTTTTCAGCTTGGAGAACCTATTATCCTCGAAGAAGCAGACATGCTATTTAGGTATGTTGTCATTGATCATTGTAATTATAATTGAATAAATTTGAATTAAAAATATTTTCGTGTTGCCCCTTGAATTATTCCTTGCTTTTGTAAAATTTATTCTTTAATGTGTATTATCTTTTTTTTAATTTGATCTGAATTGTTACAGTGTGGATCAGGAGGCTAATTATTTCATGACGGACTCCACGTTCAGCGTACCGATCATTTTGAGTACAGAGAACCTGGATACTTTCGATAATGCTGCCATCGAGGCGACGAGGGAAGATTCAAGCGAAATGCCGACGATACTGCAAAACGACATTAGTTCACAGGAGGACGCCTCAAGTCAATCTGAACATCCTAGCGCCTCGTTGACGGACAACGAGCCATCTCTAGCGGACAACGAGCCGCCTTTAGAGGACAACGAATCCTCTCTTGAGAACAACGAGACATCCCTCCAGGATAATTCACTCGGTGCATCAGAAAATGGCATCAATCGAACGCAGAACTTAAGGGTATCATTGACGACCTTCTGTTTCCAAAACAGAAAGTAAAATTTATAAAACTTGGTTCTATAATTTTAAATTAAATTGTAATAAATGTTTTCATATTATTTAACTATAAAATTTAATTTAATTTAATTTTAATGTGAGATTTTAATTATAATAACAAATATAATGTAAATCTGCTTTCACAAACAATTTTTCTAAAATGCGAATTTATTTAAATTACTAAATAAATTACAGAGGTCAGAGATTTAATGCGAACTTTTTATATTAAGATACACATATTTAATTACGTCATTACAGTATAAGTGCGGTTATTGCAACAAGCAGTTTGCAAAAAAATTCTATTGGCAACAGCACGAACGTTCTCACACTGGAGAAAAGCCTTATCAGTGCGTAGTATGTGGTCGTGCATTTGCGCAAAAGTCAAATGTGAAGAAGCATATGTCCTCACACAAAGTATGGCCTGGCACCGCCATTCACTCATTACCACCAGAGGTACAAAATTTTTAATTAAACTAATTACTAAGATTTATTTTTCTTTTCGAATTTTTACAAAGAGAAAATTTATAAGTATTTTTTTTTAATAAAAATGTGTCCTTGTAAAAATAAG